ATTTGAGTTACACAAGAGCTGAAGAGTTGGGACACATCAAATGGTCACTCAATGCTTCTTCTTTTTTCCCCTTCATCCAGCTTCAAGCGTTGAATTTGGATGGGAATTACTTGTCAGGTCACCCGCTTTCTTTTAACTATTCTATCATTCATGCATACATATATATATACACACACAGTACATAGACATACATTGTTCTTTAAGACCGACATTTTTATAAGCATTTCGAGCTGTGATTTTTGAAGATGTAAAAGCACATCAGTAACGGTAAAAAATTAGTTAAAAATTATTATGATCATATCATTCATTGCCTCTTATCTAGTTCTTTTTCGTCGGTTTCCTCTTTTAGCTCACTGATTTGCCTGGGTAAGAGTCCATTCTAGTTCTAGCTAAATATTTGCGGAAAATTTTTTTTATTGGAATGATGAAACTTTCCGTCCCTCAAATTTGCTTTACTTATTGATTTGGTCCACGAAATTTAATTAATTGTTATAAATCAAGTCCCTAAAGTTTCGTAATCATACAAAATTAGTCATTATGGTTTGAAGATATATAATCCTAAACGCACATGTGCCATCTCTAACCATTAATTCAAGGATGATAACTCTCACTTCGCTTTATTTATGAAATTTGAACCAATTTTTTATATTTTCTCCCAATAATTATATGTTATATCACTTCATTTATTCTCTCTCATACTTGTCTTTTTCTTACTCAATTTCTCTCTCATTCACAATTTTTATTATTTTTGGGAAAAAAAACATTTTTACGTATTTATTGCCTTTGAGCAATTTCAACAAACTATATAATCTATATAATCTAATCATTTATATCTTATAGATAGCATCAGAGGGAGTAAAATTGCGTATGAAACTTTAGGAACTTGATTGATAAAAATTAAACTTCACAGACCAAATGATAACGGAGACAAATTAAATTTGAGTACCAAAAGTTTTATTACTCATTTTTTTAAAAATATAATCAAGTAAGATATTTTAGAAAATGTTTGAGATACTAAACGTTTTGATTCGTGTTGTAAATACTTTTTAAAAAAATAAATTACTAAGCAGGATATTTTCTTGGATATATAGAGGGGCCCAAAACCAGCTTAATAAACACTACATTATCAAACTTTCACCTCATGTTAAATTATGAAGAGGATGATGATATTAATTATACGAATCATTTTTTTATAATTCTTTATACCCACTAACATTCATAGTAACTGATCACATGTTGTTTGGGGGACAGGGCTGCTTGGAGATATCAGGCTGGTGAACTTGGAAATGTTGCAGTTACAAGACAACATGCTCACAGAATTCCCATATTTCGGTGCTAAATCTTTGTCTTCTATATTATAGTATATTTTGAGTGACATACGTAGTTACTGAACATGCATCAAAAGTATATCTATTTTCAGAAAAAAGATTACCGGGCCATCATTTTAAGAAAAATGCTAAAAGGAATATATAGACAAAGTTTTCTCCATTAAATATATGAAAGTGTCTTTTTTTTTTCTTGATTTTGTTGGGAAGTCAAATTATTTACCTTTGCCATATAATCATCTCAACGGAACAATTTATGTGCCTTTATTTAATTGAGAGAATTGAATGAAATGTCAAAAGTGAGACATAAGATGACGTTTTCTTACTTAGCAGATTCATTATCAATAAATTTTAACAACATATATACTTATCAATTGATTTCCATTTGGCATTTGACAGACCTTTCTCATTCACGCAATCTGGATTTGCTATTGCTTGATGCTAATTATTTGGAGGGCAGTATTCCAGAATCTATTACGTCTCTTACTTCCCTCACCACATTGACATTACGCTATAACAACCTCAATGGATCATTGCCACAACAAGGTACGCATCATATTTTATAGCATCTGCGATGAAAAGAAAATAATCCATTAATTGAGTATTCGCCAATAAACATCAAATTTGTGGATAAAATTTTTTTTATTTTAATTAAACAGTCAAATTTTCCTTGTTCTTGCAAATTGAGTTAACTATTCAATGAAACCGATTTCCAATGCATGTCCTAGCTGGCATGCGGCAGTAGTTTAAAATAATGTAGTCAAAACAATAATAACAACAACAATAATAATAAGATGGACTTGTATTTAGACACATGGACAGGCTAAGACTAATAAAAGGAAATGGCTTAATAATTTATTTTTACTCATATTTTTGGGCTCAATGTTGAGGCTTTTTTCCTGGGCCCATATTAATTTAAATACATTGTTCTGACGAAATAAATTTAATAAAAAAATGGTGTATGTTGCAGGAGGCCTGTGCAATTTGACGAATCTTTCATCATTGGATCTTAGCGACAATGAATTTGAGGGGCAACTCCCCCCATGCCTTGGCAATTTGACGTCCTTACATACGCTTTATCTTTTAGGAAATCGTTTTGAAGGAACTTTTCCTTCCTCACTCTTTCATACTTTGCGGTCCTTAATGGCAATTTTTCTTACCGATGACAATTTCAATGGCTCATTTTCACTCTCGTTGCTTGCCAACCACTCTGACCTCAAAATGCTTTCCATTGATTGCTCCAACACCAACCTCAGGCTTGAAACAGAGAATCCCCCATTTATCCCTTCCTTCCAATTGAGGGCTTTCACAATCAGCAACTGCATTCTAAATGAAGCAAACAATAAAATAATGCCTACCTTTCTTCATCATCAATATGACTTGCTATATCTAACACTTACCAACGTGAACATTTCAGGGGCCTTCCCGTCCTGGCTTTTGGCAAACAACACAAAATTGAATGATTTCAATTTGACCCGCAGCTTGTTCACTGGTCCCTTTGAGCTCAATTCCACCTCAAAATTGCTTCAAATGGAGTCTTTTGATATTTCATCAAACCCCATCAAAGATGAAATCCCTTCTCATATTGGCTTCATTTTCCCCAACTTGATCTCTCTTGACATGTCTTCAACTTCATTGCGAGGTTGCTTCCCAGCTTCAATAGGTGAAATGAGACAACTGAATGATCTCGACTTGTCAAATAATAATTTATCTGGTTACTTGCCCCAAGAATTCGGTCAAAGTAACAATGAATTGAGGTTTTTGAAGTTGTCAAACAACCACCTGAGTGGCCCATGTCTTCCCGTAGGATCAAATTTCACATATTTGTTGTTTTTGGATCTCAACAACAATAACTTCAAAGGAAAACTTGAAGGTGGCATCATGAATAGTACTAAATTAAGAATGTTGGATATTAGTGCCAACCAACTATCCGGTGAATTACCTAACTGGATCGGAAACCTTCAACATCTGAGTTATCTCATTTTGTCAAAGAATTCTTTAACAGGTTCACTACCAGAAAGCTTTTGTAACTTGACCGAACTCACATATCTAGACCTTTCTAAAAATAAATTCAATGGCTCTTTGCCAATCTGTCTAAATTTTTCAATGTTGAAGTACTTGCATTTGGAGAGCAACCATTTCATGGGACCTCTACCTTCCACTTTAGCTAATTCCCCTTTATTGTTGACTTTAAATCTGATGAATAACAATTTTTCAGGTCAACTTTCAAGATTGAATGGCTCATTTTTGAGTTTAAGGGTCCTCATGTTAAAAGGAAACAAACTTGAAGGCTCTATTCCTACCCATTTATGTGAGCTCAAGAATATCAGGTTATTAGATCTTTCTCAAAATAAGCTTTCTGGTGGCATCCCATATTGCTTGAATAACATCACATTTGGGAAGATAGATGCACCAAAGGAAAAGGAAATAGGACATTTTATTGTGTCATGGACTACAAGATTTTCAAATTACGAATTTGATCCAGTGACCTTTGAAGTTTCCATGCAAGAAGAAAAAGAAAATGTTACACTGTATAAAGACCAAGAAGTAGATTTTACAACAAAAAGCAGGTATGAATCTTACAAAGGAAACATTTTAAATTTCATGTCTGGGTTGGATCTCTCAAATAATCAATTGGTAGGCGAAATTCCTTCACAAATTGGATACTTAGATGCCATCCATGCATTAAATTTGTCAAACAATCAATTGAAAGGGCCTATTCCAGAAATGTTTTCCAACCTCAAGCAGATAGAGAGCCTTGATCTTTCATGCAACAAATTGACAGGTCACATTCCTAAACAACTAATTCAGTTGTACTCCTTGTCCGTCTTCTCGGTGGCTCATAACAATCTATCTGGAACAACACCTGACATGAAAAATCAATTTGCAACTTTTGATTCAGCCAGTTATGAAGGGAACCCTTTTCTATGTGGTCCGCCTTTACAGCAAAATTGCTTAAAAGCTGGGAGAAACAAGCAACCTCATGATTATTTGGAAGGGGATGACTTTGGAGATGCCTTCTTATGGAGTTTTGTTGGAGCATTTGGGGTCTTTTTTATAGGCATCATTATAGTTCTTTATTTGAACCCTTACATTTGCAATTACAGACTACTCATACTAGAGAGAGCTGTAACAAGTTATCTGTATGAGTGGTGGCAAAATAGGAAAACATTTTAATTTTAGTTGATAAGATTCTGATCATGTAAGAGATGGCCTGGTGATCATCTCTAGAATTACAATAACCAAGGGATTGCTAGTTTTAAGTCTTCTCATGATCAGGAAGGAAACTAAATTGAAATATTCGAATCATTACTTTGTCTTTCTCTACGTGGTCATTTAGTTCAATGATTGGACTTCTAACTTCACGTTGTGTGGCTGTTGACTATATGATAAATGGTCGAATAAAAAAAAATAAAAAAAAGAGCAAGAAGCTGCCTTATAGAGGCTATTCACATTAATATTTCTTCACGCGCTTTGACAATATTATTGGAACCTTCCATTGAGCTGCCTTAGCCGCAGCCGCCGGCAACCCATATAAGTGTGTCATGTGTGCGTATTACTCAACAATCTCCTTCTCAAAATCCTTTATTATCATATATCTATTTCGTCTTTGCCTCTATGTTCCTAGCTATCATCAATATTTATTTATGAACATTGCTTCGCGAATTTATATATTCACCAAGGTATGTTGAAGTTGATTCATACGTTTAAGCATGTCTCCACGTACAGTGCAATCAAACCCAATTTTAGCACAATCGACTGCAACTGATAATGCAAATCTTCGAAGATTTAGCAACAGGTACCATCCAGCTCGTATTTAATACACCCATCTTTGAATGTGGGTTTAATTTCTTTGAACAACTTTTAAGTGGACAATTTCCATCTTTATAGTTTTAGCAGTGCTGATAATATCAGCACTGAGATTATGGGTCGACCTTACCCGCAAAACTTAACTGCTTTAAACTTTCTTCGTTTCTTTTCTTTCTTTCGTTCTTTCTTTTTCTTTTTCTTCTTTTAAAGAATCCTTGCAAAATCACATCCACGAAGAGATGGTCAATCAAAACATTATCGCATTGATTTCATGGACCCCTACGAATAAAGCTGCAGCCAGCTGCATGATTCCTTTTCGTCATAACAGTAATATTTATTTATTGGTTTTAACATCTTCAGTTTTACTGATATTCATATTTGTAGAATTAGGTTGGATCAGCTTATGATTTTGATGACCTTTGTCTGTGAAATTTCGGCATCACAGAGAGTTGCATATATGGAAAGTACAGGTTTTGGGGAATTATGAGTAATTAAATATGGTCAGTATGGAAAATTTGGTAATAAATATATCTCAAGTGAAAAATGCGTTGACTCTTCATTTCTTGCCATTCTGGATGATCACTGACGACTGAAGTGAAGATATTGATTTTTTTTTTTTTGGGTTTTGATAGTTTCTTGAAGTAATCATGCATCCACAAAGTCATTCATTTGTTTAGATGAAGTGTTCCTCACTCTGCGTCTGTAATGAGATCATGAAAGTTCAAAATATTGAAGTTTTATGTATGTTATTTAATTGAGCTCTCTAGGTTTCAGAAGGTGCTCACCATGTATTGTGCTCTGCAGTCTCATATAATTTCATAAGAATATTGCAAACGCATGTTGTCTATCTACTCCTCTCTGCTTTGGCTTCATACTTCTAAATCAACACAGAGAAAGAGTAGGATGGAGCATGGAGTGGGCAAATAATTAAAAACTGTTTGACGAATTATTTTTTTTAATTATTTGAGAAATTCGTTTTGTAAAATATCAAGTTTACCCTATATAACTCTTGGGATCACTGATTATTTATTGACTAGCCATTATTGTCCCCTTTGTTTGGTTATGATACAGTTTTGCTGAAACGTAATTCCCCCGTTGGCCAGCTAGCCATCCTATTTTTCTGACTTTTAGCTGTTGTATTATCCTGGGCTAATCAAGTTCAACTGCAAATTTGGTTTAGATTAATACTTAAATTATCATAATTAGCCATAACATTTACAGACGATCGTGTAGAAAGCTCTAGACGTGTAGTTTACTTCTGGCTTCATGTACCGTTTTTTGACTAGTTGTGATGACTGATAAGAATATCAAGCGTCAGCAACAGTAGTCAGGATTATCAGAAAGTGAGGGGTTGGGCCCAGTCGTTTGCTTTGGGTGGGGCAAGGAATTTTCATCTTGTCCTTGTTTTCCACACTAAACGACTATAAGTCTGCATCAGGTTATGAAGTGGAGCCCTATGAGAGAATACTCTCGGGATTGGGACGAGTAACATGTAACAACCTCAAAGCTCATCTATAAAAGAAAAGTCATGTTTTCTTTCATTGCAGAAATGACATCAGCAACTTTATCATTCCTGTTTTGTTACACTCACGACTCATTCAACCAGAAACGAGTGTATAAGAATTAGATAACTAATTTATAAATATTAACAAAATTAGTTAAGTTAGTTATTTGTAGTAAATAGGTGTTTTCTTTAGTAAAATATCTTTGTTATTGAAATAATTCTTACTATCTTCATAGAAATTACTTAAGAGCAAAATAAATGAATATGAGAGATAAAGTAGATTGGAGTCTTATATTTAAGACTAAATTGAATATCCAATTAGCTCATGTATTAATTACATAATTTGTAATAACCATATTCCGGCCGACACAGTAGGACAAATGATTGTTGTCTGCATGAGGTTCTTGCTGTGTATTTTCTGCTGCTATCGTGCTTTGTCCCACCATTGTTTGAGCAGTCCATCAGATGTCAAATTTCTAGTTGATCAGATTTGTCTCTCTGTGTCATCGATTCTAATCACACCCAGAACAGAGGATTGATGAGTCTGTGCGTGATTTATTATTTTTTAATTGTTTCATGAAATTCGTTTCATAAATATATAACAATTTTATTATTTTATAAGTCTGTGGGATAAGTGGCTAATGACTAGATTACACCACCCCCCAACTGTTTGACTGTGACTCGGCTTTCAAGTCTTGGTTGTTAGCTTTATTGGTTGTGACTCACTTTTCAAGTCTTCAGTACTGTTTTGGAACACAGATCAACTTGAGTCTCCGTTCGTCCTATATATATAGATAGGGAGGACATAATAGAAGGCATAGGCAAACAAGGAAGCATATCATATACAGTGAAAAATGAAGTATTCATTGAGATCAGGAGATATGTGGTGGGTGATGGCCACAACCATATTCATGTTATTATTAGAGTTTTATGGAGGAACTGAGGGGTGCTTGAAAGAAGAGAGAGAAGCTCTTTTGAAATTGAAAGAAGTTTTCAATTACGCAAATGGATCATTTCTTCCTTCTTGGAATAACCAAACCTTCTCTGATTGCTGCACTTGGGAAGCTGTACACTGTGACAACTCTACTCACAGGGTCATAAGCCTTCGTCTTAACAATAAAAGGGCTGAAGAGTTGAGACATATCAAATGGTCACTGAATGCTTCTTCGTTTCTCCCTTTCCACCACCTTCAAACGTTGGGCTTGCATGGGAATTACTTGTCAGGTCACCCTCTCCTTTTAACTATCTTATTGTATTCATGCACACAACACACACGCGCACACATATATTACTAGCTCTAGCCCTTAATATAACAACTAGTTAACTCATTTGAGTAAATTAAGAAAATTAGTTAAATTAGTTATTTGTAATAAATAAGTATTGTCTTATCTAAAATACTCTTACTAATCAAGTATTATTTGATTAAGCATTTAACATGTGTAACTACTACAAAGACTATCTTAGAAATGAGAGACAAAATGGATTAGAGTCTTATATTTATGACCAAAATAAGAGTAAAATTAGCTCTTATATTGAGAACTGAAGGTAGTCTATTGTTAATTAAGATTAGTATCTTTATATATATGTGCGTTTCAAACTGTGATATTTTATTAATAACAAAAAATTAATTAAAAGATGTATAAAAGCATATTAGTCAATATATATGTAATTCATGTATTAACACAGAAATTGGATACTAAATTATGATTATATCATTGTCTGTTATATCATCCTTTTTCCTTAGTTGCCACCAATCTGTGGAGGTAAGACTATTTTTGGCTAAATACGTGTGGATAGTTTTAAATTGGGATAATGAAGTTTTTTCCCTCCACGTTAAATTTAATTTGCTTCAATTATCGGTTTATTAGTTCTTAAAATTTAATTTTTATCAATCAAGTTCCTAAAATTCTTTAATCATACATAACTAACCCTTTTCGTTTGAAGATATATAATCCTGAATATGCGTATATTCTAGAATGATGAACTCTTCATGTATGAAGTTTTAGAGACTTCACTGATAAAAATTAAATTTTAGAGACCAAAAATTGATAACTAAGACAAATTTGAGGGATCAAAAATTTTATTATCCCTTTTCAAAATGTAATCAAGTAAAATATTTGTAAATGCGAGATACTACTTAAATGTTGGTTTTGTGTTTTTTTTTCAATTTTTTTTTAAATAAATTAGTGAGCGCAATATTTTCTTGGGTAAATAGAAAGGCCCAAGGTCCAAAACAAACTTGGAAATCACTGCATCAAACTTTAACGCATGATGATACTCCTCTAATCCTTCATATAAGACCTATTTAACTAATTTGATTAAATTAAGAAAGTTAAGTAAGTTAGTTAATTATAAGAGATATGACATGTTTTTTCCAAAACATTATAATCATCTTTCTTGATATCATCTCTCCCTCTTCTACTTGATTATGGTTGAGGGAGTATCTATAGGAGTAATTTAGAAAAAATTGATAAATATAAGAAATAGGTCTTATATTTAGAACCAAAATCAATTTAACAATTAGATCCTATATTAAGGACCGGAGGAGTATTAATTATTTGAATTATTTTTATAATTATTTTTACCTACTAATAACATCCATAATAACTGATCATATGCTGTTTGCCGAGCAGGGCTGTCTGAAGATATGAGGCTAGCCAACTTGAAAGAGTTGCATTTAGCAGATAATAAGCTCACAGAATTCCCATCTTTCAGTGCTTAAATCTCCCATTCTTCTGGATTATATTCTTTTAAAAGCCGTATGTTAATTACTGTGTGCATCAAAATTTGACTTATTTTTACAGAGAGATTACCATGATTTTTTAGAAAAATGATGAAACAAATATTTGGACAACTTTTCTCTATTAAATCCGCGAAAGTTTTTATTTTTACTTCATACTGTTTGGAAGTCATCAATTGATATCACTAACTCATCATCTATTTGCCATGTCATATATATATAATCATTTCAACTGAAGAAATTTACACGTCTTTATTATTTAGAGATTCTTGAGAATACTGAGAGTTGAATTATAAGATGACGTTTTATTACTTGCCACGTGATGGAAACATGACTAATTAAGCAGATAGATTATCAATAAAATTTGAGAATATATATACATATATAAAATAAGTAATAGGACAATTCATTAAAACATTTTGTATAGATAAATTAACAATGCCATCCAAATAGCTCCTTCTGTGTGGCCCATGTGTCTGTTTGTACATATTATTGGCTAGGCACGCACTTGCTTAATTAACGTACACAATTCCATTTGGCATTTGACAGATCTTTCTCATTCACGTAATCTGAAGGTTCTGAGACTTGTTAGTAATTACTTGGAGGGAAGTATTCCAGAATCTATTCTGTCTCTTACTTCCCTCACCCAATTGGCATTAGGCGGAAACAACCTGACTGGATCATTGCCACAACAAGATACGAATCATATTTTATAACATTTGCAGAAAAAAAGAAAAAGAGTATTCCGCCAACAACATCAAATTCCTTGATATTCACAACCAGTAATATAAGTTTCATTTTCATGCACAGGATGAATAAAACTAATGAAAGAAAATTACTTTAGTTCTTCTTTTCCTGTATGGATTCTCTATATCATTTTCATCTTTACATTTTTGATTGAATTTTGGTTTTACTTCTTGAAATTTTAAATCATGGTTTTTTATCTCTTATAGTTTCACAAGAAATTGGTTTGAATTTAATAGCATTAATTTTTAGTTAACGTCGTTAAGTATAGATACCAAAACAAAAACTCATTAAAATTAAAGGGACTAGACGAGTTTTGGTTTTTGTCCTTTTATTTTTAATGAGTTTTGATTTTAGTTCATATACTTCATGACGTAATTCAGACTAAGTCTTTATAAAATTATAGGGACAAAAAACCATAATTTAAAATTACAAAGACTAAAACTAAAATTCGATCAAAATGTAAATATGAAGATGATATTAACCCTATTTTTAATGCTAATTAGTAATCCCGCATTCAAATATACCCCACTAATTTTCTTACATTTTTTTACTCAATTTTAATGCCCGACAATATTTTGAACAGAACTGCTTTTAATAGGAGGATAGCTATACTCAAAGTTTTAATCCTTAAGCTATTGCTTCAAGTTTTATAAACTTTTATTGATGGACTGATTAAACAAATTTGATAAAAAAAAAATGGTATGTTGCAGGAGCCCTATGCAATATGAAGAATCTTGTATTATTGGACCTTTCCTTGAATG